CCCAAGCAAAAATCTCTTATATTCCCCATGCCTGGCGCACAGTTGACATACAATCAATGCTTGATAAGTGAATAAGCAAACTGCGGCCCGCACAGACTCTCTCGCCCCGCTGTCTGTTTCCCTTTCATCTCCTTTCTTCCTGTCCCCTTTTTGCTCCTCTCCTGCTCCAAGTGCTTCTCATCCTGGCAGAGCTGTCCTGGATGCATATGGTGGCCTCTGTGAAAGCCCCTTCATCTTAAGTCTAGGAAATGGTCCCTGCGTCAGGCTTTGTTATGAGAGTCTCAAGTGGTCCAGCCTTTTCAAATTTGAGAACATCAAGGGGTTTAGAGATTAAAGTTAAAATATCCCGAGTCTTGCTGGCATGACCTCCCAGGGACTCCTGGTTTCTCAGTCCCTGTGAGGGTGGTAGGCCCACGGTGGATTGGATATTGTGTTCTACCCAGGTGTGTGCCTAGTGGAGCAAGATCCAGACTCTGTTGTGTCTCAGCTTAGCAACTCCTTTGCCTTGTGAAGTTGGGCTGATTGTTTCACTTCTGTGGGCCACCAACCACACCGAGGTATTTGGATTCAGTCACTTCTTAATCCAACCCCTTTCTGGCTCTGATATTTCATGATTGAAGCTACCGTGCATCAGTGTCACATGGCTCTGTCCCCACCCTCCCGGTCCTCCTTCACTTCCCCGTGGCTATCTTTCTCTTTGATGTGTCTTATCTTTGTTAACAGTATGTGAAAACTGGGGAAGAGTGAGGCAGTCAGGCCTCAGAGCCTTTGTCTCTGCCAGGCCCCTCCTTCAATGACTCCCCAGAGTTTTCAGGTCCAAGTTCAAACTCATTAACTCAGCACACCAGGCCTTGATTCTTCGAGCGTGGTTTCTGAAACCACTGGCAACAGATTCACATTGCCTCACCGCCCCCAGCCTGCTAAGAGTGAAGATTCTGATTAGGAAGGTCTTGGGTGGGTCCTAGGAACTGGCATTTATAATAAGCACCCCAGGGGATTTAAAAAAATGTATTGGTGGTAATGGGGTTAGGTCATACCACATAGGTAAAGAAATCCAAACAGTAGGAAGAAAGCATATGTCGAAACTGTCCCTTCCTTGGAAAGCACCACTGTCATTGGTTCTGGGGATAATGCATTGTAAGTACATACATATATAGGCATGTGTTTAATCATAGGCATAAGCCAGGGGATTCTGTAAAGTTAGAGAACAGCGACATCAGGGCATCTGGGATGCTTTGCACCCTCATCACCTCTCAGACCTTTGCCTGCACTGCCCACCTGAACCCCTGCCTACCTGAACCCCTGCCTACCCGGTCGTCGGGAGCTTGCTGCAGCTCAGCTACTGAGGATGCTGCTGCTGTCTGCGTGCCTTACCTCATGCAGCTCTCTGCCCAGAAAGCCTTTCTTCCCATTGTGCTTCCCAGCCAATGCCTATTTATTTTTCAAGACTCAAGTGTTTTCTCTTTCAGGGAGCCTTCTAGCCCTATCCTGAGTCCCACACTCTGGGTTCACTATAATTCCACATTCCCTTTTAACGAAATAACTGTGTTGAGTGGGCTTTCCTTTATCTGTTCCCCTGCTGGACTGTGAGCTCACTGTGGGCCAGGTATGTTTTTTGAGTTGCCGAGTTCCAGTACAGTGTACATAATACATAAATACTCAATAAACGGTGTTCAACAAATGCTCAGATAGCAGGTATTTTGTCTCATTCTGGCCTTTTGCAGTTTGGAAATCTAAACTGTAGTGTTCTACAGGCTCACCTAGGCTCTTTGCCTTTCATGGTGCTTCAGAAGGGGCTAGTGGGAATGGAAGAGAGGACCCTGAGCAGAGGCTGAAAAGAGGGCACTGTCTTCGAGTCACAGGCAGGAAGTGGCCCTCAACTCCTGAGCATTCATAGCTGAGGGGACTCAGAGGAGGCTCATACAACTGGATGCAGAGATGAAGCCCCAAGTTTTCCTCCGTGGGTTTGCCTGCTGGTGGCCAGTGGGCAGAGTGGAGCTTGGTGGAACATTCCTGGCAGAAGCAGTGTGACAGGCCTGCCTCCTCCCTCCCTGTGCAGAAGGAGCAGGTGGCCTGATTGTAGGGAGGGGGGTAGGGAGACCCAACAGAGGGAGGGGCATGGGAGAGGAAACTGAACACACCAAGAGGGGGGGTGGTCGGGGTGTGTGGCTGGCCAGGCGGTTGTTTAACGAGTAAATGTGCTGGGAACGCTAATGAGCTGCGTTCATTCATGGAAAGCTGCCTCCCGAATTGGGGAGCTAGCCAGGTCCTGGGGTGGAGGAACTGGGGATAGGAGCCAAGTAGGGGAGCTGCCTGGCTGCTGAGGCCGGGCCTCTTGTGATGAACTGGTGGGGGCGGGGTCTTTGTCCTGACTCCGAGGGGGCCCTCCTTTCTTCCCCACTTTAAAGCAAAGGCTAGGCCTTGCCAGGTGGTAGCGACTTGACTTAAGGCCTGTTTGGGATTTACTTTCCAGGCTAGTCTGAAAGCTTCCAGGGCAGTGGCCGGCTCCTGGGAGCCACAGGCAGAGCTGATCATGCTGCCCCCTGCCCATCCCATCCCTCTAAAGCCATGCTTCTCTAAAGCCCCTAGGGCATGTTGCCCATTAATCAACACTCTTCCTCTTCCCCACATGGATCCTGGCTTCAAGGAGCCCTCTGAGGTCATGGGGCCAGGGAGGCACCACTGGAGCAGGAGGTTGGAGACCAGACATCTTCAACAGTCTGAATGCTGTCTGTGACAGGCCTACTAAGTGCCAGGTGCTGGGTTAAGTGCCAAAATAAGGAAATGAGGAATCCATGGGGTGGGGGCAGCCTCTGCCCCAGGAGGGGTGTCAGGGAAGGAGCCACATGTGTAAACAGAGCCCCAGCTAAGAGAGGATAAACAAAGCTGCAGGCTCAAAGGAATGAGGATTTAACTTGCCTGGCCCCAGGCAGCTGGGAGAGCAGAGGGGGGCCGAATGTCCTGAGTAGGACTTTGTGAGGGAGAAGGGGAGGAGGCTCTCACAGAATTGATTTGTGGAAAGGTTCTCTAAGATCACACCACATGGGGCCCTTGAGAAAGTCTTTCCCCACCCTCCCAGTTGTCACTGAATTGATGCTCAAGGACCTATGGCCCTGGACGGAGGTCAAGTATGGAAGTGAGTGAAAACTTTCAAAAGAACCCATAAAATCAGCCACATTAGTTGCGACATACTGGCCACAGTTCTATCTGTGCTATGACAGTAGAGATACTGCAAAATTTTCATGAAGATGGAAATGAAAACAAAGAAAACACTGAGCCTGTACTTGGTGGATGATACGGTTTCATCTTGTGGAGCTCATCAATATCACATCACCCACCTCTGACAAGCTGTGTTTACCCCTGGCACCAGCCACTTTCTTTCTGGTTTCTCCCAGGAGGAAACCCAGGGAAGCCAACTCCTGTGAGAGGAGGTGTTTCTTGGGCTGCTCAGCTGTTTCTTCTTCCCAGGCAACCTGGAATCAGGGACCCTGACTGATGATGGGCAAAAGATGTCTGGGTCCTATGGAGCACCAGCAAACCACAGCTGTCCTTGATACTGGAAGGGTCCTTATCTTTTTGGCTTGAGGATAATTCTCTCCCCACCTGGATTTCCTGTTCACACCCATATGCACACCTGCCTTAGAGTGAAAAAAGTCCCTGCCCAAAGAAGTGTAAGGCCTGGAGTCTGACGTGGGTAGCCTGTGGTCCTTCTCTCCCAAGCAGGCTGCCCAGCTTTTTTCCAGCCCTCTCTGCAGTCCTTTGAAGACAAGACTGAATATTTGTTTTCACCTGTCAGAAATGGAAGAAGGTTGGTATGAGAGGAGGAAGATATATGCTGGATTTCTAATCCCCACTGCTCCCGACCCCCTGGGAAGCCAGCACAGGGGATGGGCAGGACTAACAAGTCTGCAGCTGTGCAATGTCCAAATCAAGGTCATTCTCATTCTGGGTGCAGCTAGCTTCGGGTTCCACTTGGAGAAATGGGGTTTCTACTCTCTTGGTGGAGAACGTGTTGAGGGAGGGGAGAAGACTTTCTTTGGCCTAGGGCTTTTGTGCCACCACCCTCTCCCCACTTCTCCTCACCGCCCCCCCGCCCCGCCCCCCCGCCTTTTTTCCCAGGCTCGACCCTCAAGGTCTCACGCTAAGCAAGGTAGGTGGCTTGGAGGTGGCGACCTGGTGCGCGGGGCTTCCTTTCATTATGAATTGACAAAGCAAGTCTGACGGGGCCAGGGAGTAGTTTCTGCCCTCGGGTAAATGACGTCTGTGGCCCAGGAGAAGGGGTCAAATAAGATTCCCTCCCCGCTCTGGACCAGCAGCTGGGGCTGCGGGTGCTGGGTGCGTGCGTCTGTGCTCATCCGTGTGTGTGTGTGTGTGTGTGTGTGTGTGGCCCCAGTGAGGGTCGGGACCCGCAAGTCGAACCGTGGGCTTCCTCCCCTCCCCGCAGCCCCCTGCCCGCTCAAGGCGCCTTGTAGGTTCCACCTTTAAAACTGTACGCTGCTGGCAGCAGCGGAGCGGTCGTCGGGAGGCGGGGGCGGGGAGGGTGTGTGCGGGGGAGGGTGGGGAGGAGTCTGGCCTTGGATGTGTGCTTTTCGATTGATGGATGACTGCCGGGTGGGAGCGAGCGTGCGGGTGTGAGAGTGTGTGATTGTGTGTGTGTGTGTGTGTGTGCGCGCGGGGTGCGTGCGCGCTCGGGGCCTGCCCATTTTCCTCCTCGCAGCAGTCAGTTGGGAGCTGGAGGGAGGGAGGGAGGGAGGGAGAGGCAGCCAGCGAGAAACCGGAGAGGAGAGGAGCGCCCTCCGCCCAAGGCGTCCTCCCTCCGTCCGCGCACAGGCGCCGTCGCTTGGAGGAGCAAGGTGCCTCGCAGCCCACAAGGGCGCAGAGCACCAGCCAGCGGTCTCTTCGGTGGTTCTGACCCGGGACCGCACCTGGAGGGAGCCCCGGACGGGGATGGTAAGCGGCTGCTGCCGTCTGGCACATCAGAGGGACACGGTGAGGGCACCATGGCGCTGATGCCCCAGATGGGGTCCACGGCGGGGCTCGTCCGGCCGGAGCTCTGGCTGCTGCTGTGGGCAGCCGCGTGGCGCCTGGGTACCACGGCGTGCCCCGCCCTCTGCACCTGCACGGGCACCACGGTGGATTGTCACGGCACGGGGCTGCAGACCATACCCAAGAACATCCCACGGAACACCGAGCGCCTGTGAGTATGGCCCCATCCCTAGGCCACAGGGAGCCCCGAGGTTACCCTCCCACCAAGACGCAATTCAGGGCTGGGGGTGGGAGCTGGATCTTTGGAACCGGGCTCAGCATCCAGTAGAGGAGTCGATGCCTGCCAGGGTCTTTCTCGAGCCAGGAGCCAGAAGCTCCACTGTTTTCCTTTCCCGGGATTCAAAGGGCCCTCAGTGGGGCTGTCACCTCCCATCCTCACACCTGCATCCTGCGCTCTGCACTGGCAGGCCCTTCCCACTGCGCCAGCACTTTATTCCTCCAGGGTGCTTGGGAATTGGTGCCAGAAAGCCTTCCTCGCACCCAGGAGGGAAGCTCCTCACGCTGGCAAGAAACCATGTCTCCTTTTGGGCACATGGGGCTTGGGCTGTGTTCTGAGTCGTGTGCGTGGATGTGGGTTCTGAGGGCTTGCAGGCTGGTGATGGGTAGCAAGATGGGATGGAGTTGAAGTTTTCGTCTTTCCCTTCCTCTCCATTGTTTGCCCCAGGGCCTTAAGAATTCCCTTGCAGGTGTCAGGCATTGGTCTCCCACCTCACTTACAGCCATTCCCCAACCCGGGCAGACAATGGAACATGAGGGATTTGACTTTGGGGCTTGGTACATTCAGCACCCAGGGAGAGAGATGTGTGACCTGGGTGGAGAGCCCTGTAAATAATGCTGAGAGGTCAGGAGCTTAGAATGGGAGACACAGGTTAAAGACATTGACCATGACAAGTCATAAAAACACCATTTCTCCTCCCTTGTTTCTCTTACTTCTAAATTCTTGAGGAAACTCAGCTCTTTCTAGACCTGCTGAGCTTTGTAGGGTGTGTGTGCACACGTGCGTGTGTGGATGGTTAGTGTGTGTATGTGTGCGTATTTACAGACCTGTATAATTTGTTTTCCCAGATTCCCTGCAGAATGTGTGTATGTATGAATTCCTTGTGTAGTGATATCACCTCAGTGTGAGGCTGTGAGAGTCCCTGCATGCAGTGTGTGTACATTTCGGTCACATGCAGGGCCTTTGTGCTGCTTGCAGAGGTGATAGCCTTGGGAGATTTTTGAACTGGACTTTGGCAAAGGCTGCCGGCTCTTTTGAAACCTGCTGACTCCTTCTTCCCACACTCCTGGGCAACTGCCCTGGCTCTCAGGAAAGGCGTATATATTTCAATAACTTTTGAGCACATTTTCATGGCTCCCAGCTGGTCAGAGGCAGAAACCTGACCCTGGGGAGAGCCGTCTCCTGGATCAAAGTCTGTACCAAGGTCGGCAATTAGCGAGCATACTTTCCCCCAGACTCTTCTTGGTCGAAAATTCATGAGGTGGTTTCAGAGAATTTGCAACCTAGATGCAGTCTAGATAGGAATCAATGTGTGTCTGAGGACGTGTCGGGGCTGGAGAAAGATGCTGGCATGGGGAGAGGGTGGACCAAACCGTTTGCTTGGGGCAACTGTGCATTATCTTGTGTGGCCCTGAAGGACTGAAGGTCAGAAATCTGTCCAGAGGACCCCTGAGGTTGCAGGGTCACCTTCAATACCTCTGGACCTACTCTCTGTTCCTTGGCCTTGCCCATGGGGTATTTCTCCTGCAACCATTACTCTGGTAGCTGCCATGGTCTGAGACACATGAGCCCCTCTGCTTTGCTTTTGGAACTGAATCCTGAAGTCATCTCATTCCTTGCTCTCTCTTCCTCTTCAGTTTTGAGGAAAGCGTCTGTTTTGACTTTCATGAACTCTTGAGCTCTTTTGTGATTAAAAGAGATGTGTGCTAAACTTCCTCGTGCAGAGGAGGGTTGGAGCTCCGTTCGCCTAGGTTGGAGCCCTTCAGCTGTCAGTTATTTGCTGTGCGACCTTGGGCAAGTTACTTGGAAAGTTCTCTTAGCTTTCCAGCAGGAAAATGGGCCTTTTGATACATAAGATCTCTGGTTCTTGTAAGGACTGAAGATAATGTGTGGGAAGCGCCTGGTACGTTATGATTCTTGCTAAGTGAGAGCCATTTTTATGATAGGATCAGGGGAAGAATTTTGTAATTTAATTCAGCAGATGTTTACAGGGCCAGGAATTGCCTCGGGTGCCGAAGCTCCAGCAGGAAGTAAGTCCCTGCCCTCAGATGATGTATAGTCGAGAAGACTAGGCAGTGGATACCTAAATGTAAGCTCTTGGGAGAGGGCCGGGCTGGCAGTGTGATGAAGCTATGGGGAAAACATTGGGATGAGAAGCCCTTTTATGGGATGTATGGGCTTCTCAGATGATGAGCCATTTTATCACGGTACTTTGGGACCCAATAGTGGTTGGGTGGGATCTCGCCAAGCAGAGAGGGCAGGCAGCCAAAGAGAGGGACCAGCTTTGCCCCGGGGCTGAAACATGCTGTGTCCAGGGGGATGTGGTGGGACCTGAGGCTGGGAAGGTCAGGGAGAGTCAAGAAGGCCTTTCTCTACCTGGATTTTTCTTTCGGGGACTTCACTGTTGGAATCCAGGGGTGAATCATCATGGGGGCGTGGGATGAGATCTGATCTTGGCTGTGGGCAAAACTTGGATTGGAGAAGGATGTGGAAAGCAGAGGGAGCCTGCCTTTTCAACACGCAGGCTGTGAAAGAGCTATTTGAGGAGGAAAAGAACACCCCGAGAAGAGGCCTAAGGGAGAGCCTCAGCGGACTCAAAATCACGGGCAAATGCTCTGTCTAATCAACATGAATATTATGTCATTTTGGAGACTGAAATGGCAGCTTCTTCTCAGGCTGTGAAATTTTTATAGACTGCAGCTATGCATTCGCCTTTTGTCTTCTGGGCAGTTTCTACAGCAGCTCGAGAGGTCTGGCAACTTTATTATCACATAGTCCATAACTCTGGGTCCAGGCCTGTTCCCCCAGGGGGAAGAAATTGTCATTGGTTTGCTGCAGGGACTTCTGGGAAGAGGCTGTGCAAGCCCGAGAGCCATTGTAGGCCAGGTGGGGAAGGGGTCCTGAATAATTCACCGTGAATTATTAAGTTAGGGGTGCGCTAGAGGACTAGAAGCTTCCTCTCTTTGCAGGACTCAAGCTCAGAGAGACCCAGCTATGGCTACTATTGATTGTCTTTTCTTCCACTGAAAGACCTTGACTTTCAGTGGATTTTTTTTTAATTAAAAAAAAATCTTTTGGACTAGAATGTTCAGGAGAGTGTGATAAGAGATTATGTGTGGACGCTGCTTTTCCTCTCCACCCTAGGCACTTGTACTCTGGGCTCGCCGCAGAGACCCCTGTGGGTGCAGAGTGCAGAGAGGGGAGAGGCCCTGGTGGGGAGGTGGGGAAGGGCCCTGGGAAGGCCTGCTGACTTCCATTTTGTCCCAGGCCCAGAACATTTCGCTGCTCTTCACGCCATGCGGACCCGCTCTCCTGTCTTTCTCAGTATGTTCCTTTGTATCCTGGCCAGTTTGTTCACTGCCCTAGCTTCCTGCCTGCTGCAGAGGCCTAGATGGCCCATGCGTTCTCTCAGCTCGATCCCCGAATCTAGAGGCCCCATTCGACTGGACTGGGTGGTCATGCCCAAGGAAGACAGTGAGGGTGCCCCTAGGCTGATTGTCTGGGAGCCTGTTTAGAATTCCAAATAATGATTGGATGGTGGCTGTGGCGAGAGGAGTCAGGGGGCCGGATTAAAGCCATATCTTCCACCAGGGCCTGGCGGGTCTGGGCTCTCTGAGCAGGGCTCTGTGATCTCTTGCAGCGGAGACCCACACTGGGCAGGGTACTTGCCTCCTTGTGGAACTCTCGTCTCCAGTGACAGGTGCCCTGGGCTTATTGCTGGGTTCTCAATAACTGGTGGCGGGGGCCCCAGTACGGTCACTCATCCTCTCTGAGACCCAGTTTCCCCATCTGTAAAAGGAGATGATCACAGCTTTGCAGATTGATGGTGAGGATTAAGTAAGCGAATGCACGGAGAGGGCCTGGCAACATGCTTGGCACATGGCTGGTGTTCTACTGCCCCTCAGCCTCTGGGAAGAGTGACACCTACTACCATAGGGCTTTGCCAAGATTCACTCATGCTATGTGGGTGAAATGCTTTGTGATTCAATTAGGTGATTTTATTATTTTTATTATCTGGGAAGCTCATGCTAAAGGTTTGAGGGTTAGGTTGGGGCAGGAGAGCGCTTGGGAAGTAAGCATTCGAGTGCTGGCCATGCTGCAGACTGCTCTTCTGCAGGCTGGCTGCTCAGAGTGCTCCTTTGCTGTACCAGGGCGCTTTGCCTCCATTCCCCGGGATTTTGGGACAGGGATCAGGGCAGTGCCATGCAGGGACTCTGTAGGGTGGACGACATGATAGCATGGCCCTGGAGCCAGCCTGCCTGGGTTTTTAGCCTCTCTGCCACTCAGCAGCTGGGGGACCTGGGGCAAGTTATAGGGTTTAATTCATTCATTCCACAGATATCTATCTATTGAATGTCTGCATCACGCCGAGTGAATAGTGCTAGACAGAAACCAACACGGCTCTTCCCTCTGAGTTGTAGTCCAGCAGGGGAGGTAGAGATGAATGACGTGATATGAGAATAAACACGCAATTGCAAACTGCGATAAGTGCTCTGGAGAAAAGTGACTTCTCAGACCTCCGTTTCCTGGCCCATCAAGTGGGGATGATGACAGGACTTGCTTCAAATGGTGGTCGTGAACATTAACTGCAGTAATGCTTGGAGAAGCACTTTGCACCAGGCCTGGCACACAGCAAGTGTTTGATAAATGGTATTATTATTGTTATTAAGGTGACAGAATTGCCGGGATGTGAAAGGAACTTGGGTGCCACTCAGTCCTGGATCCCAGCATGGCCCTGCTCACCTGTCCCTCAACAGGCAGTCAGTCACTGGGCGCTCTGGATCCCCTGGGAACCCTGGAGCATGCAAAGACAGGGCCATCCTTTCCTCGGAGCCCCCTCTCCGAGGCAGGAGCCCGGCTGGGGTGGCCCAGGCTGCCCTAAGCTGCCAGCAGGGGCGGCCGTGCTCTTTTGGGGCCAGGGGAGGGGTGGCGGG